GGGGGGGTGATTGGAAATCAATGACTGCTGCTTGTTGCCTGGGGCGCTGGATCCAGAGGTGGGGGGGGGGGGTGATTGGAAATTAATGAATGACTGCTGCTTACTGCACTGGATCCAGAGGTGGGGGGGATTGGAAATCAATGGCTGCTGCTGGGGGATATTAGGTCAGTAACTGCTGTATGTTACCTGGGGCACTAGATTGGGGGGGGGGGGGGTAATTAGATAGTGGCGTTTGCTGCCCTCTGCCTGGGTACTGGATCGGGTGGGGTTGTGATTGGAGGTCAGTGATAGGTCTGTGGAACCTCTCCATGTCCAGGATGTGCATGATCTGTTATTCACCCCGGGTGATTGGCATGTACGGTGTGGCAGTGATGTCTCGTCTTTTTCTCCCCCTCCACCTGCAGGAATAATGAATGGATAAACATCCAGCATGTAGTCCAGTCTGATCATCCTTGCTGGGTGCAGGTTAGGCTTTAGTTGCTCACAAATGAGATTTCGTCTTGTGTTAGTAATTCCAAGCCGCTGTCAGTCAGCTCCCGGTGACCCTGACTACATGGGATTGGTTGTTATATAAGGACCAGGGACTAGGATTCCAGTTAGGAGCTGGTACTTGTAGTTCTTCTGGTCCGTAAGCTGTCTGTGAATGCTGATTTGATTGTGAATATAGCAGCTCTATATTCCGACTGTAATTCCATGGAAGAATGTCACTTTGATTTTTAGAAAAGAGTCTGGAGGAATTTAAAGGGCTGCTAAAGGCAACATAAGAGGTTACTTATTCCTACCCGCTCTGTGCGACTGTATTGCATAGAAAGCTTGCTTTCCTCCTCTTCTGGCAGTCCCTGCCAGGCCTGTGCCATCTGCTTGGGCGCCTCCTGTAGCAAGCTGGGTGCTAAGGAGGCACCTGACACTTCATTCCTTTCGCTCAGGGGTATCCAAACTATGGCCCTCCAGCTTTTGAAGTACTACACGTCTCATCATGCCTCTGGGAGTCTTGCATGGGGATGTCAGTCTTGTAAGGCCTCATAGGACTTGCAGTTCCTCGACACCTGGAGGGCAATAGTTTGGACACCCCTGATTTCTCTGGAAGGCAGTGCGCTGTATTAAGCTGCTGTTTGGTGACATGCGGCACTTTCCTGTGCACTGCAATAAAATGCAGCGTCTACATTTTATAAGATCTCACTGTACTGCACCTCAGGGCTGTATTGCAGTGTGAACGGGACCCATAGAAAAACAGTTGTTTCTTGTGTGCCCTAGTGGGGACCTGCATTTATCCAGTGTGCTAAAACACAGGTCACCACTCTGTGTGAACAGGTCTTAGACTTTAGAACCACTTTAAGGTCCCAGTCACACCAGCAGATGCAGTGGGATGCAACTTTGACTGCATTGCGACTGCATTGCAACTGCATAGACACTACAAAATCCAAGGTATCCTATGGGCATAGTTCACACTACTGCAGTGCAGTGAAAAAAAGCACAGCAAGATGCATTTTTCTGCACTGCAAATGCATGCACTGTAAATGCTCAATAATGCAGTGCAGGACACATAAAAGCCCACGGAAGTGACTACAAAGGAAATTCAAGCCTAGGAAAAAGGCACTGCAGATGCGCATACAACCAAATGTCAAATGCACGTCATCGTGCTTGCAAAAATGCACTGGAAATGAACACGTTACTGGTGTGAGTGGGCCCTGAAGAATAGCTAAGCCCAAGATCAAAAAATGTAACACGTTGCCTTTTACCGGTCTGGAGATGTGTTGGCTGTATTCATTTTTTTTTTTTTTTTTTTTTTTTTTTTTGTTCGTTAAGAACATTTTCAGCAAGTACAGAACACACCTGTTGTCACTTCTTGTGATCTGCACTGACATTATGAAACATTCTTCCTGCAAATATGAAAAAGAAGTGTTTATCTCACCAGAGTTCCAGTGTCCCTGTATCTTTCTGCGCATTGAACTGATTTATCAAACAATATTATCAACTTTCACAGATATCGTCTGAGAATGTCAGAAGATCTCCCTGTATAATGGAAATGAGGAATGGGGGAAGGTGTTTGTAGCACAAATCGGCAGAGAGTATTCTAGGGTGACAGCGCTATTGCTCCATAGATGCAGTATGGTGTGTGAGTGTTGTCACCCTAGAACAGGAATTGTTGTTGGCAGGATCATGTGATGGAATTATAGGGAATAAAGCCTGAAAATGGGAAACTAAATCTGGCTATGCATGACCTGAATTTTGGCCAGTGACTGCTGAATCACCCAAAATTTGAACCATAGGTGGCCTTGTGAGCCCCCAGCTTCATAACAGTCCATTTAATATTTGACTTGGCCAGGTGGAAAGCGACAATATGGACTCCCCACAACCCTGGTTAGTTTGGATGGGGGGCCCGATTAATTATTGTGTATGGCTAGCTTACTGCAGCCCCCACATCTAAGGACTTGCAATAAATTCCTTTTTGGGTCGAGATGTGCCTTAACCTCTTGTTGACTGCCCCACCACCTTTTTACTGCAGCGGGGCAGTCCCACTATGCTGGATCACGTACGTGTTTGTGCTCCAACATTTCCAGGAAGGGGGTGTGCCTGCCACTCCATCACTACAGCACAAGTCTGTTAGCAGGTCCCTGCCAATGATTTATGACTGGTACCTGCTGATCAGCTTAGCGATTCACAGTACAGAGCCCTGTGTTTACTAACAACACAGAACTCTGTACATGGCTGTGTTTAACAGTCACATCTATTAGTAAAAAGCAGCACACGTTACACCTTGCTAGGCACTCAGTTAACCCTTTGATTGCTGATAGATGTTAACCCCTTCCCAGTATCAGTGTCATTAGTACAGTGACCGTGTATAGTATTATCACTCTTCACTGTATTAGTATCACTGGAGATGTCAGTTATGTCAGATTGCCCGCCGCACTATCACAGTCCCACTATAAGTCACTGATCACTGCCATTATTGGTATTTAAAAATAAATTCCAGTGTATATACCATAGTTTGTAGGTGCTATAACGTTCACGCAAACCAATCAATATACACTTATTTGCATTTTTGTTTTCCCAAAGACATGTAGCAGAATACATTTTGACCTAAATTTAGGGAGAAATAATTTTTTATTGGCTGTTTCTAAGCAGAAAGTAAAAAAAAAAAAAAAAAAAATCTTTTTCTTAAACATTTTTTCAAACATTTTTTTTTCAAAAACAGTGCCACCAAAAGAAAGCTCTTTTGTGTGAAAAAATGTTTCATTTGGATACAGTGTAGGAAGAAATTAAATTTTTTTTATTGGCTGTTTCTTGGCAGAAAGTAAAAAAAAAATATATATTTTTTTAAATTTTCAGTATTTTTTCATTTATATAATATAAAAATCAAAAAAATCAGATGCCACCAAAAGAAAGCTCTATTTGTGTGAAAAAAATGTTTCATTTGGATACAGTGTTGCATGACCGTGCAATTGCTAAAGTAGCACAGTTCCGAATAGCAAAAAATGGCCTAGTGATGAAGGTGTTTAAAACCTTCTGGAGCTTAAGTGGTTAAGGTTTCCCAATAAATCACCCTCTGCCCACCCCACCCCACCCCACCTCACCCCACCTCACCTCACCCCACCTCACCTCAAACCTTTATTGCTTTACTGAAAAAAAATAGCAACTCTATTGAAAAGCCCTTTTTTTCCTTACATGCTATCAGTCATGTGATGCTTCGGCCCTAAGCTTCTTATGTTTACCTCCTTTTCTGGGTCCCTCTTTGGGTGTCCATGTCACTACCTGCGGCGGGGGGTCCTCTTAGGGACAAAGAGGACTGGGGGTCTCATGGGGACATTGCAGTGCTGGGTTTAGGGCGCCCCTTCTACATGGAAACAGCATTGGTGTTGTACCTGGACAGGAATTAGGTGGGTGTACCTGACTGTACAAGGTAAGTGGGGAACCTAATAAAGTGGGTTAGAGCGGGTTCACACCGGTTCACTGCAGTTTGGCTGCAGCGCAGTTGGATCCATATTTTCCACTCTGTTCCATTGACTTCTATTAGTCTGTGTATTTTCTGAAAGCACACCAAAAAAAGGACTGTTGGGGAAAAAAAATGGTTGGAGCTTTAAGGAAAATGCCTTTGAAGTGATCTTTAGGTTTTCCATCAAAGTGATGCAGTTTTATGTAGGTCTAAGGCTCTGCAACTTCATGTATTCCTACCCCTCCCCCCAGACCCCCTTCCGTTCCCAGTGTGCATGATTCGGAGCCACTAGGGTGGAGGATTTTGGTGACTCGGTCATGCTTTTAAAAAAAAAAAAAAATGCTAGCTATTATTCACTATTGTAGGCCACAAAGGGCAATTTTTTCAGAATTTTTTTTTTTTTTTTTTAAATAACTAAACAGAGTTGATAGAAACTGATGTTGAAAAGCTGCATTTATCTTTTTTTAGGGTGAATTTGCAAAGGTGTTTGTTTACTTAAAATGAAAGGGTTTAACCACTTCAAGTCCGGACACTTTCACACCCCCTTCCAGTCCAGGCCAATTTTTAGCTTTCAGCACTCTCACACTTTGAACAACAATTGCGTGGTCATGCAACACTGTACCCATATGAATTTTTTAGCATTTTTTTGAGACAGATAAAACTTTTATTTGGTAGTATTTATTCACCAATTTAATATTTTTGCTATATAAATGAAAAAGTACAAAAATTTTGAAAAAAGTTTTTTTCTTATAAAATTTTGCAAATAAATCTTTCTTCATAAATCCAAAATGTATTAATCTATCTTTTTTAGTTAAAAAAAAAAATAACCCAAATTAGTTAATAACCAAAATTTATAATTTTTTTATTTATTTTTTTAATATTATATATATATTTTTTTACATGTTGTCACCCTAGCAGTACAGTGTCACCATAGTGAGACTGTACTAACTTTTGGGGGGGTGATGAAGATTTTTATTTTCCCCCTTTTTTTTCCACTGATTGCTTTTACACCCATAAAGGCTGTAAAAGCAATCATTTATCCTTCTGTCTGGCTGCATTCTTGCAGAAATTGAGAAATACTGTGTGAGCTGTGATTGGTCAGCTTGTCACATGGTACAAGGCTATTGTGAACAGCCCTGTACCATTTTAACTCTGTGATCATTCACAGATTTCACACGTAGTAAGCAATGATGTCAGGAAGTTACATCTTGTTTACTACTATTCATGTGATCACTGATTGGCCAATCAGTGATCACATGAATCGGGACCTCACACAGAGGTCACGTACAGCGATCTGTGTCCTCTGGCCACAGCGGGGCACCGATCGCGATGCCACACTCTTCCTGGGAGCGTGCACAGGCAATGGATGCGGGGGGGATGTTTAGAAACATCCACCCGCTCCGGCAGCGCTCCTGTCCGGTACCGTTTATGTACATGGGCAGGATAAACGGGAAGTGGTTAAAGCAAAAAAAGCTCTGGCTGCAATACTTGCCTCCTTTCCAAAACTGTCCTCCACGTAAAATTACTTTTCCACCACTAGATGTCCTCAGTTTTCTGGGCTGGATGACACTCCTGACATCCAGTGAATGCATGTCTTGGATTTCCATGGGCAAAGATGTAGAGGGTAGTGGATTGAGATGATGTAGGAAGAGGCAGTTAGAAGCACAATGTTCAACATGTAAAGCTGGCCATACACTTTTATTTTTATTTATTTTTTTTCCTTCAGCCTTGACTGACAGTTGTTTTGTGTTTCTTCCATTTGCGAATGATTGCACTAACTGTTTCACCTTGACCTCCTCACCAAGCTAGCTTGGCGATAGTTTTGTAGCCCAGTCCAGCCTTGTGTAGGTCTACAATCTTCTCCCTGACATTCTTGGACAGCTCTTTGATCTTTGCCTTGGTGGAGAGTTTGGAATCTGATTGTTTGTTACCTGTATAAAAGACACCTGTCCACAGGAGCAAAGTTAGATTAGCAGCACTCCCTTTAAGAGACTGCTTCTAATCTCAGCTTGTTTACCTGTATGAAAGACACCTGGTAGCCAGAAATCCTGCTGAATGATAGGGGATCAAATACTTATTTCCCTCATGAATATGCAAATCCGTGCATAAATTTGTTAGACATGCATTTCTTTTGAATTTTACTTGTTGCTATTCTGTCTCTCAGTGTTACAATACACCTGCCTTTTTGATTTTTAGATAGACTGATCATTTCTTTGTGAGTGGGCAAACATTCAAAATTAGCAGGGGATCAAATGCGTATTTCCCTCACTGTATATGCGTCCGTGCAGGCCACATTTTGCAACGGGCACGAGAGCCCATTCATTTGAATGGACTCCCGTGCCTGTGACACACAGAGAAGATGATCCCCTGCACTTCTTTTTGAAAACGCAGCCTGCACGGGAACCTTGGTTCCAAGTACTGGTTGCATTTTCCAGTGCGGGCGGCATGCCATTAGAACTAATGGCACCCGGTTTACGTAATTCAGTTGCATTTCTCCGTGCGGGTGGATGTGGCTGCACGGATTTTTATGCGGATCCGTTAGCTGCACAACCCACACAGATGTGATCATAGGGTAAAGCATGGGTTCACACTGATGCGGTGCTGCACATCGCATTTGATTCATACACCCATTTCCACCATAACCACCCACAACACTACAAACAAAACCCCCAACCACAACCCCCACTCCCCCCACCCAAAACAACCCCCCCACACACAAAAACCCCCAAACCCCAACTCCCAAACCCCCCCCCCCCCCCCCCCCCCCCCCAAACCCCAACAAAACCCCCCACCACAAAACCAACAACATCCCCCCCCCCAACCCCACCCCCCCAACCCCCCCCAACCCCCCCCCCCAACCCCCCCACCCCCCCCCCCAAACCCCCAACCCCCCCCCCCCCCCACCACACAAAACACCCCCCAAACCCCCCCCCACCTGTCACACCCCCCCAACAATTTAATTAAACCACCCCACCCCCCAAAAAACCCATACCCCCCCCCCCTGAATAAAAAAATCCCCAACCCCCCCCTACCCACTTCCCCCCCCCACCCCCCTTTACCTAAACCTCCACCCCCCCATTCCTAAACAACCCCCTACCCCCCTATTCCCCCCCCCAATTGCACAAAACCTCCCCCCCCCCCATATCCCCACCCCCCAAAACACCACCCCAAACCCCCACACCCCCCCTCACTACCCCCCCCCAAAAATTAAATTCCCCACACACCCACCCCCCAACCCCACCCCCCCTATCAACCCAAATCCACCCAACCCAACCCCACCCATCCCCCCCCCAATCCACACCCCCCCCCCCCACCCCCCCCCCCATATTACCCCCACCCCTCCCTCCCCCAACTCCCTCAACCACACCACCCCCCCCTTACCCCTCCCATAACAAACCCGCCCCACCCCCCTTATTCCACCAACCCCCACCCTACCCCCCCCCCCGTAAGCCAAGTCCACCCCCTTTCCCCCCCCCCCCCCCTAACACCCAACCCCCCCCCAAACTATTCCATCCCCCCCCCCCCCCCCTCCCACCCAACACCCCCCCCACAACCCCCTTCCCTACCCTGTGATTATCCCACCGCCCCCCTACCCCCTCTCCCCACTCACCCCCTCCCTCCCCCCCCCCTTTCACACCATCTTTCCCCAAAACTTTCCCCCCCCCTTATTGTGTCATATTTACCCTCCAACCCCACTCCCCCAGCTGTTGGGTCAATCCCCCCCCCCCCCTTATTCCATACCCCTTCCCCTGTCCCTAACTATCTTCCCCACCCCTTCACCCCCATCCTCCCTTATATCACCCCCCACCACCAACCCCCCCATCTCCCAATTCCCTAATTTCCCACCCCCCACACCCTCCCCTCCTCTCAACCCCCCCCCCCAACACCCCCCCCCCCCCTCTACCACCCCATTACCACCCCCCCACAACACCGACTTTTCCCTTAACCCCCCCCCTTACCCCCACACCACCCCCCGCCCCCCCCCCCCACCCCACCCAACCTACTACGTGATCCCTCACCCCAGCCCTCCCCCACACCTCCCCTAATTCTAACTAGCCCCTCAACCCCCCCCCCCCCCCTGACCCCCCCCCTACCGTTTATCCCCCCCCTACCCCCCCATCACAAATTGACCTCCCCCCCAAAAATAAAAACCCCATAGTTTGAGGGACCCCCACCCCACCCCCCTCCCAACCCTTCCCCTCACACCAGACCCATAGGTGAAAATCCCTTTCCCCCACCTCCCACCCCCCAATTAAATACCAAAGTCCCCTCCCCCACCCTCTCCACCCATTTCGCCCCTAAAAACCCTAAAACCCCCGAACCCCCCCTCCCCCCACCCCCCCCCACTCCCTGATACCACCCACCATCTAGGGGAGATGAAAATTATATTCCCCCCCCCCCACCCCCACCACAACTCACTCGCTCCCCCGCGGGTCCAATTCCGTCCCACCCCCCCCCCTCCCCCCCACCCCTCCCCCCCCTCCCCCCCACCACTTCCACCCCCACATCCACGGGTGGGGACAAAAACCTGTCCCCCCCCCCCATCCCACCCGTACTTGGTAGTGTCACCAGTGTGTTAGGTGCCACCCCCCCACTCCCCCCACCACCCCCATATCCCTTGGTGGGCACTCCTAGGGAGTACCCCCGATAGGGTTTGGCAGGCCCCTCCCCCAGGCTCCCTAGGCATGCTTTTACCCCCCCCTTCCCTCCCCCCCCCAGGAGCCAACTGGGTGGGAGGATGATATATCGGGGGATGACTCCTCCGCCCCTCCCCCCCTGGAGTCCCGAACCGTAAATGGTTGGGTTCAAGGGCTCCTCCACCTCCGCATCCCCCTCCCGCCCCCCCCCCCTCCCCGACCCCCCCCCCACCTCCCCTGCTCCTGGTGGGGGGAGGGGTCCCTGGGAATCCCTCCCTCGTCCCTGAGGGTAGCCCCCCCCCCACCCCCACCCATCCATCCCCTGCCACCCCCTCACCCTGAATGAGGGTGTATGTGCGCCCATCTCCATCCCCTCCCCACCCTCCCAGGGGTCTCCCCCCCCTTTGGTGTCGAGGGGGGGCCCCCTCCCGTTCCCCCCCACCCCCCCCTTCCTCCCCCTTCCCCCCTCCATTGAACTCCACCCCCCCCACCCCCCCCCCCCCCCACCCCCCCCCCCATCACCCACTCAGGGTCCCCATAGGGGTGTCCCCCTCACTTGATCCCCCCCCCCCCTCCCCTCCCCCCCCCTCTCCCCGCCCCCGCTCCCCACATGGAGGTAAGGGGTTTAATTACCCCCCCCCTCCTGTCCTCCACCCACCTTAAACCCTGGTGGGGACCCCTTCCCACCCCCCAGGGCCCTCTCCCCCCCGGTGGGATCCATTGTCTGCCCTTTGGTGAAATGCTTGGGACTAGGAGGTGAACCCCTTCAGTTTATATAACCATGTCCTCCCTCCTTCCCCCCCCCTCCCCCCCTGGGATCTTCCCCCCCGCCTCTCGCGGGGATTGGGGTGGGTAAGGGGTGTTGGTTGATGGGTGGTTGGTGGGGGGTTTGGACGTATGGGGTGTTAGGTGGGGTGGGGGGGGGGGTGGATGGGGTGTGGGTGGGGTGGTGGTGTGTGTAGATTTCAATGTAACACTGTGAGGGGGTGGGGTGGGGAGGGAGAGGTGTAGGGGGGGATATTAGGAGGTTATGAGGTGGGCGGGAGGGTGAGTGTGGGTGTGTGTGTGTGTCGAAAGGAGATAGGGGTCGGCAGGACCCGAAGCTCGGGACTTCGATTTGAAGAGAAGCACAGTGGGCCTTTGGGCGACTTTAGGGGGGGATCTTCATAGGCCTACAGGACTGGGGAGAAGCCATAGACCTGTGGGCGGGTAGGGTAATGCGGGGGTCACTGCTGCTTGCTCTGTTTCTATAATCTCATTCTGTGATTAGGCCAAAGTGTCGGTCTGAGCACCAGGAGCTATTGTCATTTAGGCCACTGAGCACTTTTGAATTTGGTCCCCTCCACTAGTTTTACTAAAATGGGGGTTAACTCTTAAGGGACTAAGCACTGGAATCATCCGCTGGGTGGAGTGTCGTGTTCTTATCTGTGCTGGATGCATCTCTGCTCTGCTGCCTTGCTTTGTAGAAGCTAAGATTTGTACTCGAGATTATCAGGCCATTCCTACTGCCCATTTATAGTAACTCTTGGTCAC